TAAGTAGGTTGTGTTTGTTAGCTGTCTGTAGGCCCGAGTAGCTGGGCTGCTGGGCGCCCTAATGGTGGGTAATCTTTAAGAAGAGACTAGAGTTGACCGTTAATTGTGTAGTATTATTGTGATGTTAAGCATGCAGAAGAAAGTGGGAATAACAGTGATAAATGTACAGGAAATTAAGAACAAGGGCTGGGCGTGGTGGCGCATGCCTGTACTTAGGAGCTGATACAGCAGAATCACTGTGAGTTTGAGGCTAGGCTGGACTCTAATGAGTAAGAGGTCAGCCTGGCTTATGTAACAAGACCCTGTCTCAAAGAAAAATTCAAGAACTGAACGACTCATGAATGTGGCTGTTGAGCTCCACCAGCAGAAAGGCCAGGATCTTAATACAAGAAGCAGTGTATAGAACCACAGTAGTGCTGTGCGTTAAGTTTCAGCTTATTCAGTGCGGTCGTTATTATGAGCTATGGCTGAGAGGAGTGTCTAAAAGTGTGCCGCAAGTTATCGATCACAAGCAGTGCATTAACATGAACTTTGGTAATGAAATAGAGCTACTATCGGGCTGCTTCAGCTTCCAGCTTTTAAAGAAATGTCATTGTGGGGAGTTGAAAACTTGGGCTTGTGTCCTGAGGCTGGAGTGCAGAGTTCTCAGTGGGAATCACCCCATTCTCTGGCCAAAAGGATGCAACATCAGGGTGGTGCTGGTTTTTGGCACTGATGGAATTGCGCAGGCTCAGATTGCACCCAGGAACATTGTGCTGAACTCTAAGCCTTATGCTTTGTTTTTTTAAAAAAATTTTATTTTCAGTACATTAGATGTATGTATAATATTCTAAAAATATAGTTTTCAGGGGCCAGGGAGATAGCTCAATAGCATAGTTCTTGCATGACAAGCATGAGGTCGTGAGTTCAATTCCTGATACAAAAACCAAAAAAAAACCCCAACTACATAAAATAAATATAGTTTCCTTTTTAGCAACATATAAAACATAAAACCCCTCAAACAGAATACATGACATTTACAGTTAAATTAACAGACTATTAAATAGTCACAAAACTGTTCTTTATTTTTTGTATTTTAGGGCAGGGTCTCCAGGGTATTCAGGGTCTCACTACTAGATTGGATGCGTAGTAATCCACCTTTTTACGGCCTCCCAAGAGCTGGGATTACAGGCTTGTGCCAGGCAGGGCTGGCATGGCAGGCCCGGGGATTGAACCCCTGACCCCTGTGCCTGCTTTCAGGTGCTTTAATCAGCTGAGCTATTTGGCTGGCTCCTGTTCTTTTAAAAATACAAGGTTATGTGCAATTCTGTAGAATCAACAAGACTATCTCAAAACTGGGAGATTTTCCTTCATTCCTAAAATGCACCCGCCCAGCAAACACTGCGAAGGTGTTCGTCCTGGGTGCGGTGTCAGGGTAGAAAGAACAACCTCATGGTTAAATTTTGAACTTTTGTTATGCTTTCTGTGTCCTAGTGTACAATAACTTATCTTCCTTAAGGGAGCTTAAAGAGTACAGTGCTCTAAAATATAATTTGCAAGTACTAGCTTCAGAGAATTGGAAGACAACCTTTGTCTTCCATGTGTGCCACCACGTGGGACTCGCCACCACACCCAGCTCTTATGCACAATTTTATAATTATGCATATTTTCCCATTATATCTGTGTGCTTTGCTATGTTTATTTTTATTTTATGCCTCTTCAAGTACAAAAGATAACAGTAAAGAATAATATATCACATTTTATTTCAGATTACCAAGATGGTACAATCTTACCAAGATAATACAATGGCACAGAGCTGTATCATGTAACCGATTTAGAGAAATTAGTTATTGTAAAGACAAGTTAGGTGATGTAGCAACTCTGCAAAATTCTCAGGCCATCCCATCCAATTCTCTGAAGCTAGTACTTGCAAATTATATTTTAGAGCACTGTACTCTTTAAGCTCCTTTAAGAAAGATAAGTTATTGTACACTAGGACACAGAGAGCATAACATGTCCAAAATTTAACCATGAGGCGATTCTTCTCTACCCTGACAGAGTGTTGAGGAGGACTTTCCAACAATTTGACAAGAAGAGGAATGAAGTGCAGGCGTCTGGCCGCTTTCTGGCTCCCAGGGTTCAAGTAGAACCAACATGCTACACTTTGGAGCAGCAGGATCTTTATTTTGGGCGCCACCTCTTCACTTTGCAACATGTAAGCTACTTCCTTCATGTACTCAGCTGCAAGTTTCTCAGCACCTGGTCCTCCTGTAAAAGAAGTATTTGCATTTCCAGAGGTATTCAAAATAGTAGTAAATCGCAGAATCTCATAAATGTCCATAGTCTGTGTGTGTGTGTGTGTGTGTGTGTGTGTGTGTGTGTGTGTGTCTGTGTCTGTGTGTATGTGGTGCAGGGGTCTGAATCCCAGGGCTTCACTCCACTCCCAGCCTCTATGTTCACATTTTTGTTTCCATGGAGATGACACTTAGGATGCTTTTCATTTTTCCCTTTCTCATGTTGCTGCAAAGATGCGATTGTGTATACCGATCAGCAAGGACTTAAAGCAGAAAGTGTGGTAAGGTCACTGCCTGCCTAAGGCTCCTCCCTTGTTTCTTTACTCAAGCTCCACATTTTCTGCATCTTCTTTAATATGACAGCAGAGTGAAAAGGACTGTATTAAAGCCAAGAGGTGACCTTGTAGGCTTACAGTTGTCCGTTGTCCCATTCTTACACATTTCTTGCCTCATCAAAAGCCACTGGATGAACACTGCTTGTTGGAGGGGAGGGGCTGACCTGGGTGGTTAGATTCCAGTTGCTGGAGTTCTGAACCACTTTGGGTTTCTCTCACTTCTGCACACTGGTCCCCGGGTCCTAGGGATATTCTGTTCATTGTTAAAGTTTTAGCTGAAGGTGGGCATAAGTTCTTTTTCTTGCTTCTCACTAACACAGATAAGGCAAAATAACACCAAGCTAAAGCGTTAGATACTTTTGCTAGCTAGGTCTTCCTCAAAAGGCGAACACAGCTATTCAGGGAGTGCAGTCAGCCCATGTGGTAGACAGCACTGCCCTTCCTCCTTGTGGGCTGGGTGATCTCCAGAATATCCTACCTTTTCTCCAGCTCTCAGTGGCAGGTTTCCAACCCTGCTGGCAGGAAGGGATTCTTTTACTGTTTTTCTCTCAGGGACACAATTCTTTGAGTTTTAGTCTATCAAAGTAAGTCATTAATTTGTCTGCCTTAAAAAAAAAAAATATCAGTGAATATACTTGTAGCTGCCAGCTTAACTTCTGATTAGGAGATGTTGAAGATGGTATAAAATTTCATTACATATCCAAAAATTTATTAGAAACAATGTGCAAGGAGTTGGACTTGATAATTAGAGAGCGTGTGCTTCATTGGTGTTTACCAGCTTATTTTCTAGTAAAGAATACATTAATTGTTGCTTTTTACTGATAATAACTATTGGCTTTCCTAGTAGCTGTTTTAAAAGTATTGAGTTCTTATATTCAAAAAATGTCTGAGACAATTTTGTGTAATGCCAGTACTTTTATTCTACATTAGAATAATATTACTGGGTTGAGATCTTGTCAACTCAATATAGCCTCTGATGTTTTTCTTTTTTCTTTCTTTCTTTCTTTCTTTCTTTCTTTCTTTCTTTCTTTCTTTCTTTCTTTTTTTTTTTTTTTGGCGGAACTAGGGCTTGAACTCAGGTCCTTGCACTTGCCAAGCAAGCGCTTATTCTACTGAGCCATCTACCTGGCCCCTGATGTTTTTCTATTAATGAAAATTTTTGTTTTTATTTACTTATTGAGATAGGGGCTCACCATGTTGCTTGAGACTTTTGGTTTCAAGCAATCTTTGTGCCTTGGCATCCTGAGTAGCAGGAATTATAGGTGGGTATCAGTGTGGCCGGTGGTTAGTGAAAACCTTGGCAGGCAATTTTAGTATCTATATTATAATTAACACAAATGGGAAATAGCTAACTAGTAATTTATTTGGTGGACATATTCTTTTAAGACATGAGATGCTTCAAGGAAAAATAGTTATATTTGTAGTGGTAGAAGATAAAACACTAGGGACTGGCCAGAAAGCTCAGCCAACCAAAGCGCCTGCTTAGGCAGAGCACAGGGACTGGGGTTCAATCCCCAGCATGCTGTGCTGGCCTCATCCCAGGGGTGTACTGAGATGGTGATTGAGACTGGGCATGGTGGCACATGCCTGTAATCCAAGCTCTTCGGAGACTGAAAACAGTCAGATCACTACAAGTCTGAGCTACATAAGTGAGACCCTGTAGACTCTACTAAATACACAAGGAAAAAAAAAAAGATAAAACACTAATATTTCAAAGGAGTTTTAGAACAACAACAACAAAAAACCCAATTGCAGTGTTCTAACAAGCTAAAAGATCATGAAAGACCTATTTTAACATAGCTGGTTAAGTCCTTACCTGTGAAAGCCAGAATTCCAATTTTCTTTGCAGCTTGAGCTCTTATTTCAAGAGATAGAGATTTATTCTTCAACATGTAGCCAAGTGCTGTAATTCTTTCCTTGTAAAAAGTACTGTCAGTTAAAGGAATGGGTTCTTCTTCCTTATTAACAAAATAATCCGTCACAGTGACATCCCAACATTGTTGGAGGTGGGCCCGCAGCCTCAAGAAACATGTGAGTACTCGAACTCCAATTCGCTTATAAAAAGGCTGGTGTTTTTCAGTCATTTTGCCAAGTGGCCAGTGATGCTTCAGGTACCCAACTGGCAGTGACAATCAAGAATTCCAGAACACATCACTTGGCAACACTAGAATGGAATATACAAGCCGAGGGAAAGCAGTGTATGACCTAAATTCCTGTTGAACACTTTCTATGGTATCAACTAAAACAAGTTTACTTTTACTTCCCTGGGACAAAAAACCTCAACTAAATCCTGAATTCATCCTGGCCTTTGCACCTTTGCTTATGTGGGGCCTATGTGGAACTTCCCATTCCAACATATACTGGCTTTTTTCCATTTGTCTTTTGTGGTTTTTAAGACTATTCTGTTATTGTGAGCCAGGGAGATGGCTCGGTGGAATAAGCGCTTCCCTGGCAAGGGCAAGGGTCTGAGTTCCACAAAAAAAACCAACAAAAAAACCTAAGACTATACTGTTATTAATCAGAATAGATTTATAGCTTTTACCTGGGTTTTCTGAAAAAAACAGAAGCAATCAAGAGTGCTTCCATAACCCTCCATCATATTCACCCACCTGTTTGTATCTCTGCTCCATACTCTGACTCTTCCTAATGCTTAGGCCTCCCTTTATACAGATGCCAACTAGTCCTTCCCACACCACTCAAAGATGGTATTCTACAATTTTTCTCTTGTCTTTATAATTTTTCCATCTCAATCAGATCCTTTGACACATCAGTAAGCACGCCGTACTTCTTTTCTCATTTAAAAAGCTCTCTCTGGGCCTATATACTCCCTCCCCTCAGCTACTGCATGTCCCTTTCTCTACTCTCGTTTGCGGCATGGCTCTTTGTTTGCCATGTGTGCCATCTCAAGTCTGCTCCAGCTCTTTCCTCTTGGGTGGACTCTGCATAGGATTTTCACTGCAGCAAAGCCCTGAAACTGCCTATTAATGCTTCTGATGAAGGTCTTTATTCTGTTGAATCCAATCATCAGGCCTCACCATTTGGCACTCCTTTCTGCTCAATACTTATGTCCACCTATTTTCTAAGACATAATAATTCTCTTGATTTTCTTTTTTCTTTCAGGTATTTCTTTGAAGTCTGGGTGGAAGCCTCTGTGATCCCCACAACTATTACATTATTGATGCCTAAGAGCCAGCATCCTGTGGATGATGCTTGGTCTGCTGCCATCTTGAGCAGTAGCTAGGCCCACTTGTGTCAGGGATACAGTGGCCTCTGTGTGTCTAGAAGATCAAACACTGGGAAAGTAATCCAGAGGAACAAATTCCTTAAACTGGCCTCTGTGTCTCAGGCTTTCTTCAAAGGAAATTCTTGGAAACGATTTTATAATTTAACACTCTTGAGCCCTAGTGGGTAGGATCCTGCCAAATCCTGAAGGCCCTCAAGAATCTTTCCTGTGGTCATAGGGGGAAGGAAGTACTTGGCTTCTTTTTAATGGTGCTAATCTCTTCAATAACCACACCTTTTTTGGCCACAATTTTAAATGTGGTTCTTTCCTGGCCAAATTGTATCTCTCTTACTTGCTTTTCCCCCTTATTCTTATTGTGCATGTGACTAAAAGCAGCGCCGAATGCTGAGATCTCTTGAATTTCCACCTGGAAATTAATTGGTCTGCCACGTTAGTACAGTTTACCACAGCCTCAGGCAGGGCATGGACGAATGTGGACAAGTTCTTCATTGGAGTGTATCAGCAATGACATCTAGTCCTACGTAGTCCATATTTCACCTGAAGGCCCCCGAGCCTGCCTCTCCTCTGCATTTTTATCAGCATTCTGGTCTTCTAAGTTCCAGCAAAGTCACCTATCAAACTTTCCTTACACCATGGAGGGGCTTCTCCAGCCCAGTTCTCCAAATATTTCCAAATTCCTTCCACCAACCAATTCCAAAGGGAAAAAAAGGTAAAATAATGACATAAAAGTGTGGGGGGAAATGTTCAGAAGGAGGAGAATAACAAAGAGTAAAGAAAATAAAACATTTTAAAAACAGTTAAAGGGCCAGGGAGATGGCTCAGAGGAATAAACGCTTCCCTGGCAAGCACAAGGGCCTGAGTTCAATCCCCGGTTCTGCCAAAAAAAAAAAAAAAAAAAAAAAAGAAAAAAATAACACAATAGTAAAAGGTTTTCTATTGTTTGAGGCATGTGGTTCTTTTCATGGGCCTAGGATTAAGGAGCAGAGCTGAGGCCAGGACACGTTCTTGTTCACACTGGAAGTCTAAGGTGACAGTCTGTGCCCAGACTGGCGCTGGGTGCAGAGATCTGCTGTGTAGCTCAGACTGAAGCTGGCCTCTGACGATGAGATGTGGGTCTGTGTTCATAGCCCCGGCTTCTGAGTGAGTCTCCTCCCTCATCTGCTCTGCAATCATGCATAATTTCCCATGACTGCCATTTCCTCATCTGCTCTAGGAGCTTAGCAGTGGGAAGCAGCCAGGGGGCCATTCTGGGACCCAGGTTCAACACCCAGCCTTTCCTTACAGTGGAGTCCCTGGCAGCTCCTGCTCCATGTGACTGGCCTTGCATGCTTGTGCTGAGATTATCCACCAACAGTGACTGTGGAAGGCACTTTGGAAGCAGCGTCTCACGACTGCAGAGTGTGCTTTCAGCCCTGGTGCAGTCCTTGGGCTTAGCAAGAAAAGCTGTTAGTGTCAGTTTTCCTCCCAGCTGGTGGCTCACTAGCTGGTGGTGGCAGTGCTGTGTGGTCTCTCCTCTGGTATGGTCTATTTCTCCTGTATCACTTAATCCTCTTTTCCTCTGTCAGTTCCCTCATGGTTTCCATGTGCCCTCCTCTCACTCTGGTTCCTCTCCTAGCTATTTTACAGACTCTAGCCACTTTATTCTGGAGAAGCTGAGTTGCTGGTGCTCACTGCACCATTTGGAACCTCCCTCTAGTCCATGAATTTTTTTTCTTTCTTTTTTTTTTTTTTTGGTGGTACCAGGGATCAAACTCAGGACCTTACGCTTGCCAGGTAAGCACTTATTCCACTGAGCTATCTCTCTGGCACAACACTATGATTTTTTTTTTAAAGTTTATTTATTTATTTATTTATTGTGTGTGTGTGTGTGTGTGTGTGTGTGTGTGGCCAGCTCAGCCCACCAGGGGGCGGGGCTGGCTGGCATGTGGTGCTGGGGGATCGAACCGCGGTCCCTGTGCTTTGCTAAGCTTGTTCTAAGTAGGTGCTTTAGACCACTGAGTCATCTCACCAGCCCCAACACTATGAATTTTTAATGCAGGGATACAAAACATTAATGCAAGCTAAAATGTTTCAGTGAATACGCCTCAGAAATTCAATGTTATAGCAATTACAAATATACCTGTTAAATTTTTCTGGACAGTGCCAGCATTTGAAGTTTTCTAAAACAGTACATTTCTTATTGAGGGAGAAAAAAAAAAAAAAAAGACAAATAAGTTATTGGAAGAAAGGTTCTGTGTAGTTCATGGTGTGAGAAGGTTCAGTTCACTGGCATTTGGCCTCAGGCCTTGAGCCTGTGACAAGGCAGCACGTGGTAGAAGGGAGCACAGGGTGGAACAGGGCTGCTCACTTCCTGGCCTCTGGGAAGCAAAGGCAGAGGAAGGGTTGGGTCCCCAGAGCCTGTCTGAGGGCACAACTCCAGGGGCCTCACTTTGTTCTCCCAGGTCCCACTGTCTGAAGACTAGGCTCCCAAAGAACCACAGCGAGTGGCCAGGTTTCAAAACAGGAAACTTTGGGGGACATTAAAGATCCCAACTGTAGCTGGATGTGATGATGCACACCTGTAATCCCAGCACTTGGAGGCTGAGGCAGGAGGATTGTTGTGAGTTCAGGACCAGCCTGGGCTACAAAATGAGCTCATAGTCAACCTGACCTGCATAGCAAGACTGTCTCAAAAAGATAAAAAATAAAATAATAGTAATAAAAAAGATACCAACCATAACACTGTACCAGCTATACTCCTTAGCACTTTATCAAAATCAGAAAATGATATTTAATAAAAGGTATTATACCAGAAAAATAGGGCCCCAGTGTGGTGGCGCACACCTATAATCCCAGCATGTGGGAGGCTGAGGCAGGAAGACTATTGTGAGTTCGAGACCAGCCTGGGCTACGAAGTGAGCTCAAGGCCAGCCTGAGCTGCATAGAGAGATACTCTTTCAAAAAGACAAAAAATAAATACACCATCAACAACAAAACATAGAAAAAGAATCAGCCAGTATGCCTTGTTCAGGCCAGTCTGAACTGCATAGTGAGACCCTGTCTAAAAAAAACCCCAAAACCAGAAAAGCAATACCAGAAAAATCACAAGGATAAAAAGGCTCTCCTTCCTATTTGAATAATTAGTCTTTCAGATATAGTCACAAGTGCTGATGTTTTCTGATGAATTTAGGCTTACAGTTTATAATCTTGTAAAGTGAAGTGGTATAGCAATGGCTTGTAAAAGGGAAACTTTTTACTCTTGACTTAGTCAAAGCAATAACTGATACACAGAGAGTCCCTGGATACTTTCAGAGCTGAATCCAAGAGCCCTTGCTGTCACTGGTGGTTTGGAGTGGGAATAGACAGGAGCAGATGAGACTCCCCATGCCCTCGGGGAGCTCAGGGGCTCTGCTCATAGACACTGCACTCTGTAACACCTCTCTCTTCTCCCTGAATTGGGTTTATAATCTAGGAAGAGTTTTTGTTAGGTTAGACCTTTCAGACCAAGAGGTTTCAGAAAATAGAGTTTAGAGAGTGATATAGTTACTAGCCAGAGGATAAGGCACAGTCCTGGAACAAACTTTCTAAGGCACAAGCTGCATGGCTCAGTGGTGGTTGGGAAAATGTCTACCAGAACTAAAGGGACAGGGCAATGTGTAATATAATTTTGGGGAGAAAACCCTAAGGTGCATACAATGGGAAGGGGGCAAAGGCCTGGGGTAGGACCATAAAGAGAAAGACTATAAAAGCTTGATGGTAAGTAACTTGTTCTAGGAAGGCTCTGCAGGATGAGCAAACAGTTTTAAATTGATGAGTGAATGATGTCTTGCAATACAACACAGACAGTATGTGATGCCAAAC